CCATGGATAGCAAATCAAAGTCTGGATGTAACCATGGATAGCAAATCAAAGTCTGGATGTAATCATGCATAGCGCAGCAAATCTCATGGAATTAATCAGCTCCTTGCAAAAAATAATTTGAGATAATCAGAGAGAAAAGATTCAAGTATACAATATCGATGCCTGTTTTCCATAAATGGTTTGTCTCTTGATCATAACAGTATATGTTTATACATGAGAATGAAAAGATTCGCCTTGGTCCCTTGATGATCACACACTTTCCAATGCGAATAATAAGTGGATAACCCTCAGTGATGAAGTAGCTAATTTATCTTCTCCATTATACAACCTTGTAGGGAAAGAATCTCGTGATTTATAATCATTACATTATGTAGGTTTTCTTTGCGAAAATTACCATATCGATTATGCTTGTTGCTATAATATTCACTAATTCATCAATGTATTTTCAGCCGGCTGGTAAACAACAACAAATTACCATAGACGTAGATATAAGGCGAGTGAAAGGGGGTCGTTTATTGCCTTCTCGATCGTGGAAAACAATTTAGTAATTTACGTGACAAATCCATAAAAACTTCTCTCAGCTGATTGATGAACACTGTGGATGACCATAGACCAAAGAAGTGAAAGGGGGTTTCTCCAGTGAATAAACAAGTTTTCAAGAATAAACACCAAATGCCAGTTGTTAACCGATCTATCGAAGAATTATTTCCTTGAGCACACGCAGTAGTATCCCAACGAAAATAGCTATCACCTGTTTCTTTCAAAACGCACCAAAACTCACATAGGTCGCGTGCATAATGACCGACCCTGGAGGCAAAATATTGAAACACAACCTCACTCTTCTGTGAATTATTGAAACACAACCTCACTTCTTTATTTGGTTACAGAGGAATCAAAAGGTTGAAATAGTTTTTCACAATATTTTGGCATACGAATCGTGTTTCTTGCGTTATTCATTAATTCAAGCATGCTTTCGCATTGTGCTGTTGTACAATGCACAAAAAATGCAGCAAGAGACTAGGGAATATGATTTTTCAGGTAAATAGTAATCTCACATAGTTATCATTATGAAATGTTGTCATTCCATATTAAAATTCCTTCTGCATTCTGCCACTTCTGCAATACAAGCTAATGCTGCTAATAGATTGAAAATGTCTACAACACACACAATCGTCAGCATGTCAGACCAGTCCTCCCGATATTGATTGCATGAATCCAATCTTCTCGTATTATTCTAGAAATATCAGGTATATTTCTATTAGCTCCAATTGCAGAAGGAATTCCGATGAGAAATCAGAGAAATAACCAAATTTCAAAAATGGAAACTATATGTGAGTGACTATAGTAAGTACTTACTTTTAAATCATAATGTACCATCCGGATTCCTTCATCTTCCGCTGCAGTTTTTGTGCATTTCACAACAGCACAATGTGATGGCATGAGCGAATTGATGAATAGCGGAAAAATACGATTCATATGCCAAAATAATTGTGGAAAACTATTTCGATCACTTGTAAACAAATAAGAAAAGTGACGTTGTGTTTCAATGTTTTGCCTCTAGCGTCGGTCATCTGACAGTTCTTGTACGCAACCCATTGGCGCAAAAACACATAACCTATGCGCGTTGTTCAACAGCTGTCACCATGTGATGTTTGTTCCTTTGTAATATATGATCGATTTATACCATAATATCAATATCTCGGAGTTTGAACTTTCAACTTAGGCTATTTATTGTAAGGCTTCAATTATTCACTATTTTGATTACATCGAATATGAAACAGATACGCGTGATGTCTGTCCACTACCTACAATAGTACTGATGCGACGTTGCCACGTCTAGGTAAATGTACTTGAAAGTGAATACATTACACTGGATGTCTACGTATAGGTACTCTTTCAACCGTGTCAGAAACAATACCATGAGTGCTGGATAGTGATTATATCAGAAACCAACGAGGTACAAGTGCTTGGACTTATTGAATCAGTATACGTATTACCTAGAACAGTTGCGCATAAAATGAAGACCCGGCATAGGTGATTCTTCAAAAGAAACTTTCTTGATTATTCCGGTCATACTATAGTATAATATTTTTTTGGATCTGCTGACAGAAGGACAGTTGTTTCATCAGATTTGACTCATTCCACTCCATATGGAAGGCGATATGGAAGTACAAGGTCATAATACACACACTGGCACAATTAGGGGAACGGGCAAAATTTACACTAAGTTTGACATCAAGTTTCTTTCGAACCGATCGCTCGATTCAAATTTTTTTCTCCACGAATTGTAGCTGCATTCTTCTCGAATACATCTGAGAAATAATTACCTTCAAACGATCAGTCTTTCTATCATATACAGGAGTGTAAAGAAAGTACGGATTTTTTGGTATTTTTTGAGACATCCTGTGGACTGAACCACTGATAATTGAAACGATTTCTCAACACCAAATTGGAGCCTAATCTATTCCGAATTGAAATTATTGTTGGTGTTTTGAATCCGTATTGTTCGTTAAGTTAATGTTATTGTTATTGAATGAGGGCTTTGAAAATATTACATTTCTTTTTAATCATATTTGAATATTTCTATGAAATGATAGCAATATTCAACATGAAGGGAAAATTATCTCAGAAACAACTTAAGAAACGACACATTTTCAGATCCAATTTGAGTTTCGAGGTGGTAAAATTGATACCAATATCCACCTCTTCTTTGAAACTCTGTATGTTCATGGATAATTGGTATATCAAGATGAATAAAATACAAAAATATTCGGAATAGATTGGGCTACAATTTGGTGTTGGGAAATCGTTTCAATTATCTGTGGTTTACTCCACAGGATGTCTTAAAGAATACCGAAAAATCCGTACTTTCTTTACACCCCTGAATATGATATGAAGACGAATCGTTTGGAGGTGGTTATTCCTCAGATGTATTCGTGAAGAATGAAGCTACAATTCGTGAAAAACAAATTTGAATCGAGTGATCGGTTCGAGAGAAAATTGATGTCAAACTTAGTGTAAATTTTGCCCGTTCCCCTAATTGTGCCAGTGTGTGTACAATGTTTGGTTGGATCATGACACTGAATATGGTCTCTTTCAATAAGTACTCTTGACTTCTCAATATCCTTCACTATACTGTGTTTTGTTAAACTGCGTATAGGTACTTGTTTATTAAATTAATTATTTTCCACGAATATAAAAATATCAAGAGCTGTTCATGCATGTAGAGAAGCTTAACTTCGGATTTGAATACAGTTTTTCTTCCCAAAATCATATTCCAGATGCGGCATTGATATACAATAAGTACTCATATTATTATATATCATTTTTATCTCCTGAAAATTCTAGTGAGGACGCTTATGGGGGTTATTGAGATTTATTCATCAGTTCAATCATTCTCGATAAATCCAGTCTCAAAAGAGTTATATAATTTCTCGTTGACCTGGACAACACAAACAAAAATCGCTCGACCACAATAACTGATGCATATATATGTTGCAATTATTAAATTCAATAATGAATTCAATCATTTACATTCTCCACAACAAATAACAGAGATGTCACTGTGGTGATACTGGTGATCGAGATCTGATTTTTTTTTAACAAGGCGTAACCGAGTTGAAAAAATAGTCGAGATGACTATAAAGTATTTTGCGCTCAAGTTGCAAACAACATTTTTACTACAAAGGTCGGAAAATATAGTTCTGAAGTGAAAATATGCTTAGCTTGATACTAAAAATAGTGTTGAACTGGCTTGAAAGGCCTCCCCCTATCCTCCCTATAGGTACGCACGACGTTCCACAAATATAATAGGAATATCCTTTCGTGCGCTGAGATAAAACAAAGTTATTGTTGAACATTCAGAAATAAATGATTTCGTGAATGTTTGCTCGATTGAGGACCATGAAGTTGAAATATAAATATCTCATATATTCTACATAACAATGCGCAAAGTAGGTACTTCGCGCACTGTTTTACTTCGCGCATTGTTTTGTGCAAGGTATCATGGTAACGTAGGAAACTGAAAAAAAGTGTCACTTCGCAATGTGTTATTAATGCGCGAACCTTGTAATTTTTGACGACTGTAGAAAAAATACAATTTTTCTACTCCTTACCCGGTAAGTACTTCATTTTGATACTGATTTGAGGGAGGAAAACACGTTCTACCTCCCTAGGGAGGTAAGTAAATATTTACCTCCCTAGGGAGGTAGAACGTGTTTTCCTCCCTCAAATCAGTATCAAAATGAAGTACTTACCGAGTAAGGAGTAGAAAAACATTTTCTTTAATCTAAGGGAACTGGAGTAGAAAAAATATAATACAAAACTCGGGAGGCAGTGTTCTTGACCAGTCTCGGACTATTTTGCAAGCCCTCGCTATCGCTCGGGCGCAAACAATGTCTTCGACTGGTAAGTATCACTTGCCTCCCTTGTAGTGTAAATAACTATTTTACAGTACAACTTTGTTTTATCTCTTGGAGCACACGAAAGGAAATTCCTATTATGTTCGTGGAACATCGTGCGTAACTAGGGAGGATAGGGGGTGGTCTTTCGAGCCTATTTTTTATATCAAGATAAGCATATTGACGTTTGTAGAAAAAATTTTGTTTGCAAGTCGAGCGCGAAATACTTTGGTCATCTCGACTATTTTCAGATCTCGATCACCAAAGTAGCATTTAGCGCTCTAAATACAAAAATAACTATTTGTCGCATAAAAAAATAATTCTTCATGAAAATGGCAGTCTGACGGTTCTGTTATATTCACTTGTACTGCGTCTCCTCATTAGTTGTCTGGTATCAATTTTGGAGATTCGATTGAAACAATCTATAACTGAAGTCACCATATTTTCTACTCGTCTTTAAAAGAAAAACGATTATATCATTTTATCAATTTATTCAATATTTATTGTGAATGAATGATTCATATCCTAGTGTAAATAAATTAAAAAAGATGAATGGATGAATAAATTTGAACTATCGTTGCTCATCCCAATTGCTCCTTCACATTGCCGAAAATTCTACGCATCAAGCCATGTAACTGCTCATTCGTTATTACAGAGCGGGTAGACATCTACCAACCCTTGTTCCAACCAAGTCCGTTGCCGTTAACAGCGATAGCATTGCCGTTCCATCCAAGGCCATTGCTGTTCCAACCAAGGCCATTGCCGTTCCAACCAAGACCGTTGTTGTTCCAGCCAAGGCCATTTCCGTGCCAGCCAAGGCCGTTGTTGTTCCAGCCACCTCCGAGTCCACCTAGAAAAACATAATCTACATTCAACATTCAATCTAGTAGAGGCAGTTCATTTACTCCGGATTAAATCACATAAAGAATACTTTATTTAGACCACTTCAAAGACATTACACGCCCTATCATGCCCTCTTGGCGAAATGAGAGCAAACAAAAGAAATAGAGAATTAATATTATAGCCTTTACATTCACATGTGTTGGAGTAAAATGGGTTAGTAAGTAATTGTGAATTAAGTTTGGAAGATTTTTTACTGAGATTTGCTATTGAAGGTGACATTTCATACTGTATTTTATGTACTAGCGGGCGGTAAAGTGCAATTTACCGCCCCGTCTTGCGGGTGTGAAGTGAGACTTTACCACCCGCGGGCCCATTATGGTCCGCAGGGCGTAAAGTACTTATCTGTTCTCAAATTCCTCATATCCATATACCGATTCAAGAAATAACTATGTTCGCACTCTAAGCTGATTCTATGATTCCTAGTATGGTATATTGTATGTAAGTACATGTTCTTCTACATCCCATTCCATGAATCTTATCATTTATAAATCTACTAACGCACTTCTTTGAATAATTGCTTTTTTGCTGTGTAAAGTTTTCATCCACCAGAATGACAATTTAGCTTGATTTTTCGATGTATTGCTAGACAACAGCCATATCAGCTTGATTGACAACGTCAAAATTAGGGTAGATATATAGATCCTGATGGGTATGCATTTTGTAACATTTCAAGAAATGAATCTCTTTTGGTGAACTTTTGACTCGAGAAATGAATCACTAGTGCATAAAAAGTTGTATGCATCACGTGGGTGAAATGCGTTTATGGCCTTCACGCCGCAGGCCATAAACGCCTACTGTACGCCCTTGATACATAAATAACTATTTCGCAATTACTTTGAAGTGATACATGGAAGTTTCGATACTAAGAGTTTTTTGGAATGAGGAATCCTAATTTGCTCTCTAATTCAATGTGTTTTCAATAAGACACTTTTGTGGTATAAATGCACACTTAACATTATTGTTCTTCGAGTTAGCGCTATTTTCAATAAGGAATATAAGAGACACGTCATTTTCCAAAAATAAGTAATGTATATTTTTCAGAATGTAAAAATGTCTATCTTGATTTGAGAAGGAGAAAGAATCCTTGTGACAATGTGTAATTTTTTTTTTCTATTTTCAATAATAATATTATGAGGTGTGTTACTTCATATAACGTTATACCCTCTAGATATTCTATTTGTCATTCCCTGAACATTTGTAATCGGCGATAAAGGAAGATTTCAATGTAACTCATCCTATAAATTAGCTGTATATGTTGCTAATTAAGGGGACAAAATTGAAATTCCAAATTGATTAGGATTTTTGTCTGACTATGACAAATACAATTCCTTCGTCTCTCGCTACATTTTGTGTGCATTGTACAACAGCACAATGTGATGGCATGCTTGGATTGATGAATAGCCCAATAAACAGGATTCGAATGCCAAAATATTGTGAAAAACTATTTCAACCCTTCGATTCCTTTGTGAACAAATAATAAAAGTGAGGTTGTGTGTCAATACACACAACCTCACTTTACCTCCAGGGTCGGTCATCGTGCACGCGACCTATACGATACGTAATCTTACGAAAAGAACATTTTGACCTTACCTAAGCCTACTCCTACGGTTCCAACTCTAGCGATAGCCGGCGCAGCAATGGCATGAGAGATAATCGGACTGGCTATAGCAACAGGTGCTGCCACTTTAGTAACAACAGGTGCCGCCACAGCCAACTTGCCGACCACCTGAGTAGGGTTCACGCTGATGCTGTTGCTGTTCTGCCAAGACACGGCCCCGTGAGACGCTACAGCTACGGGTGCTACGTGAGCCACTTGAGCAACAGGTGCCACGTGCGCAACTTGAGCAACAGGTGCTGCTAAGGCTACTCCGTGGCCGAGGCTGCCTAAGCTCAGACCGATGTTGCTTAGTCCTAGGCCGAGGTTGCCGATTCCAGCTCCGTGGGACGCGACAGCTACTGGTGCTCCATATCCGATGTTGCCGAGTCCGATGTCAGAAGAGATGACTCCAGCTTTGACTGTGCAAGCCAAGAGTGCTAATAAACACTGGAAAAATTGAGGGTTTGTAATTCGCAATAATCATGAAGTGGTCAACTTGTTGTATTTGTTTTTGGGGACTGCTATAAATGTACCAAGAAAAAACTGACTCAGTATTGCCCAGCATAAGTCTAAGATTCAGGATTGTATCACTACACATTTTCAACATCAATTTCAGAATCGTTAAGTTATATTTCGGAAAAGGTAAACTCGGTTTCAGAAATGGTTAACTCAATTCCAAAATCGATGATTTGAATTTCAGAGGAAGTCTATTCAATTTCAGATATGGCAAGTTGTATTTCAGAATTGGTGAGTTCAATTTCAGAAAAATAAGTTCAATTTGAAATGAATAATCCTGATCACACATTCACTATCGGCAATGGAATAAGTCACTGTATGAATCTCATTATTCATAGGATCGTGCGTTTAAAATGGGCATCCTACAGATACCATAGTGGTAGTTCTGGATAATGCACCTGCACATTCAAGAATATACATATAGAGGAGATTTGCATGGAGGAAGATGTTCTCATTTTCTGATTGGCACCTTACAGCCCCCAATGTTCATCCCAATAATTGAACATATTATGGAATACCTTAAATTGCAAGAGCATCACCGAAGGGTCATAGCCGGGGATCCAAACAGATTACTTAACCAAATAGAATTCAGGCTGTGATGTCTTGAAGAATGTGCAGATCATTCAATGAGAATATACACCTCAAAAGTGTTTGAATTCTTTTAGATCATGTGCAACGCCACATTTTTTGCCATTCGAATAGAAGACATGTCTGTATGGATTAATTGAATATTAAGTTTAGTATATGTTATTTAATGATTTTCGAAAATTTAAATATTCTTAACATGGTTTGTTCTTTTCACATGCAACTAAAAATATGTCGAACAAATATAAGGATTTATTATCTGAAATACAACTTACTATTTCTGAAACTGAATGGACTTTTTCTGAATTTCAACTCACCGATTCTGAAATTGAGTTTACCATACTTGAAATCGAACTGAAACCATTTCTGAAATCGAGTGTACCTTCTCCGGAATATAACTCACTGATTCCGAAATTGAAGTTGAAGAGGTATAGTTTTCCTATGTATCTTGTATTTATGAACAATTCAATCATTTCCGAGATAAATTGCAAAGAAACAAAATAGAACAAATTGATTGATGTACAAACAAGTATTAGAGTATTTTTAACTCATCAGAAAGTTGGTACTCTTTCTAATGAATTGATATTGTTTTTTCACACTAATGTTCTCTTCTGGATACGAAATAATGTGAACACATGTCCAAATATGAAATAACGTATTCAGAATCGAGAAACTCCCGACTTCCGAGTCAGGGAATGTTGAAGAATAGTTGATTATATCTGAATGCTAAAGTTAAATCAGGACAATGAATATATAATTATGTGTATGTTAAAGAGCAACAAACCAACAAACGAAACACCAACATCTACTTGAACTCTGAATTACGACCCACTCATGAACTCAATACAGTTTTTTTTCTTTCGCAGCGCACGAAAGGAAATCCCTATTGTTTTCGGAGAACATCGTGCCCACCTTGGGAGAAAGGGAGAGATCGTAGGTATTGGAATTTTCATTTAACTTCTGGATAAACTAAGTTCTAGAGAATATTTCATTTGGCAAAGAATTCCAAATATTTGCCGTTCTATAGAAAAATGAGTTTCGGTAAATAGTTTGTTCGATATATTTCGAGGTTGACGACGAGAGGATGCCCTGACTGGGTTTTTCTAGTTCGCCTGACTGGTGTTGCTAGTGATGGAATGATAGCAGAGATTTCTGAAGATATTTCCCCTACAAGTATCTATAGAAAAGTGAAAAGGACGCTAACTTCTCTACGGTGTTCCAATTATGTCAAAGAATTCGTGATCGTGGCATCACCCACCAGGCGGATGGCTTATCTCTGGATGACACCTAAGAGCATCAGCGTATGTTTGGGTATTCAGTACCAATATATCAGGTGTGAAGTAGCCTTCCACACGGAATGAAATCTGAGTTTTCGTGAAGCAGCTTTCGCGATGGCTCAAAGATGGGTATTCCGGGCATAGATATAATGGAGTTTGTGTGAGTGGTCGTATCAGGCATTGATATATCAGGCATACTGAGTTCGGCCTTTCAAGAGAGAATATGAGTTTGAGTTTTGATAGCGTTGTTGGTTCTTCCTGCTGTAATTTTAGCCAAATATTCATTGACAGCGTTGCTGATCTTCCTGTATCGTGAATTCTCAGTTTCTTGAAGAGGAATAGGAATTTGGAATCTGCAAAGCTGTGGATAGGCCAACTGGTTACTCTCAATAGATTATTGCTATCGACTAAGAAAAATAATGGGGACTAAATTATTGCTTGTGGAACGCCGGATTCGATTACTATGGTATCAGACGATACTCCGTCCACCACCACATGCAGAATTTGCCTGAAAGGATACTCCACGAGAGGAGGCATAGCTGAGGTGGTATGCCGTGTGATGGTATTTAGTGGAGAACTCCTGGGTGTCAAACACTGTCGAATGCTTACGACATATCTAACGTCACAGTTAGTGATTCCCCATGTTTTTCTAATGAACCTTGCCATATCAACTATAGAATCCTGAGCTCAAAATATGACGATTTAACCTATAATTCACATAGCTAAAATACCGTCAACAGAGGCTATATTGTTGAACTGAAATTGTTCTTATCCATCATTCGGTTGCCCCCATACGAGCAACCCTCAGAAGTCTTCAAGAGACTTATGCGAGCAAGAAATGACGGGAGTCTCACCTTTTAACGTGTGATACCAAACACTTTCTCAGGCCATCAGAATAATTTCTGCTGTCGTATTTCAACATATGGCAACTGTGCAATTGTCTGCCTCCACTTACGAATCGTGACGTCAGTTTTTACTCGCGGTAAATTTCTAGCCGTTTGAAAATCACTTTGGCATTATTCATGATTTAAGCACCTTAAAATCGACCGAAAAATTCTAAAAATATGGAAGTGACATGTATTTGAGTGATGATTCTATATGAGAAATAAAAAAATTTAGTCCACTCGCCTATTATTGGTTCAATGGAGGGTGCGCATTCAGGACCTGTCATATAGCATACGCATTCCTATCTATGTTTCCCAACACCAAAAGAAACATGACTCAATGTAATGAACGACAGTTTGGGAGTTGCTGCGCATTGAGCAGAAACATTCTCAGGCGAGCAATTTTACCGATATTTTCGAGTTGCTGTGGATATGACACATCAAGATAGTAGTTATCTCAGTTGGTGCATCTGGCAGCGTATATGATCCACTCTCATTGGTCTTTGGAGTGTTGCGTCATAACTGACTTCCGTTTAATGAAGGTGCCTATTATATTTTTTATTCTGAAATCATCTGTTTTGATTCCAAATATCGCTGATTTCACCAGATAACATCATCATTGTAGTAATGGGGGAGACCACTGATTTTTTAAAATGACATTATCGTGAACTCTATACTAAAAAACTACCAGCGAATTAATTTTGAATTTTGTCATTCATGCTAAGACGATGGAAAAAATAAATTAGAATATGTCCATTTCAAAACACACAATTCCTGTGCCATTTGAAATTTTGTCAATTCATTGGTGTGACTGGTGCGACGTCTTATTCCCAACACGCCTATTGTCCTTGAACTGACCAATCACACTGCAACACTGCAGAATGACGAGGTATCAGAGAGAGATAGCTACAGTTCGGGACTAATACGTCACGACTCCACCATCATATTTGGCTGTTTGAAATATCGAATGAAATATGCTGATTTCAAAACGATATAGATTCGATTCCCTTCAACTTTAACTCATAATATTGATTGTACATCAAACGTAAATCATGTTTCGTCGATTGAAAGAGGTTTGAACGGATTTCTTCTCTCAGTGGTCTTCCCCATTGGATATGAATGATGGATAAATTGAAAATATATCTGTTAACCAAAGAAAGAAGATATCTACTTACCAATTTGAACATGATGAATGTAATACACTTATCGAACAGTTGAATATGTAAATCGATTGATACTGATCCAGAATGCATTCGCAGCTTTTATATATGAGCCGATCCCCACTGGATCCATCTAATATGTCTATTAGTAATCACATTATTTTATTGATTTATCGTTAAAAGTAGAGCAAGGGGCATTGCAATTACTAGATCGAATTTTTCAACTTCTTCAACTGATGGTGGGCACGGTATGGACAAGAACGACATAATCAATGTCTCGTTTATTGATTCCGAAGGTGCTGAATGTCAATGCATTTCTGAATATAATTGAACGTAATTGTAATCAATCTAATAACGAATTCTCTAAATATAGCTAAATAATCCAGATCAATATCATTGCTGCCGATTTTGCTCTTGAGAATGCGATTTATATTATTTATGTGCATTATATTTCTGAATGTTATGTGCGGTCAGCATTGAGATAATTTCATTAACGTCCTTATGAATTTTATTTCGAGCAATGAGAATTATGAACTTTGAATAATTTGGATAATATAATGAATGAAGCATAAAGCTGTAAATCAGATCCATCATATATATTTTTTCGATGAACATTGTGCGAATAATCAATTATATTTTTTTTTATCGCTTGGAGCGCACGAAAGGAAATCCCTATAATGTTCGAAGAACATCGTGCGTTCCTAGGGAGGATAGGGACAGGAGGTAGGTATTGGAATTTTTCTTGAACTTCTGGAGATTATATGTTGTTGGGAATACTTCCTTAGGCAATGAATTCCAGAGCCTAGCCGTTCTATGGATGAAGGAGTTTTGATAAAGTGCTGTTCGACATCTCTCGAGGTTGACAACGAAAGGATGTGCTGACTGGGCTTGTCTAGTTCGTCTGGCTGGTATTGCTAGTGAAGGGATGATAGCAGAGATTTCCGAAGAACATTTCCCGTGGTAGATAGAAAAGTGAAAGGTCGCCGACCTTTCTACGGTGTTCCAATGATGTCAAAGAGTGAGTGAGTGTGGCGTCACCCAGCAGGCGAATGGCTCTTCTCTGGATAGAATCTAAGAGCATCAGCGTATGTTTTGGTGCTGAACCCCATATGTAAGAACAGTATTCTAGCCGTATCTGCGCTTTGTAGATCATGAGAAGCTGTTGAGGAGTAAAGT